TACAGTACCTGGTACCAGTACTTTTTTCTTTTTTTAGTACCACCTCGGTTGAGGTTCCAAGTGAACTGTACCGTTACCAAAACGTGACGTGTAAACTCTGCTGATCACAGATTGGCCGGAGACGGCAAAGGAGAAGTGCTCACTAACACAGATTTAGACAGATTTGTGAACAATATTTGAGAGAAATAGGCCTTTTGTGTACATGGAAAAAGTCTTATTTCAGCTCATGAAAAATGGGGGCAAAAACAAAAGTGTTGCGTTTATAATTTTGTTCAGTATACATTTTTTTTTTTGTTCAGTGTAATTTAATTTAATTAAATAATTGTAGCAGTATTTCTCGCTATTACTTTTTTTCACTGATTTTCAGATCAAATAAATGTAGCCTTGGTAAACATAAGGCACTTCTTTCAAAAAAATACTTTTTTAAAAATCTTAATGACCCCAAACTTTTGAACGGTGGTGTAAATTATTTCAAGCAAACAATGTGTTTTTGAATATGTCATGCTGATTTACCAATTCCAGTTTAGTCATGCATAGTGGGATTATCAATAAATCAAGTGATCCACTTTGTAGGGTTGGGGTGGCGTTTGGGGCGATTAAAACCAAATAGCTATAGCCATAGCTGTGATTAAGGACAATAAACATCTGAACATCAGCCAACCGTATAATTGAGTACCACATGCTTTACCTCTGGTTAGTGTCAACTAGCTCTAAAACAAAAGTCACATAAAACAAATGAGCCATTTGTGTGGATGAAACAATTCCCATTAGTGCTGTTAATCTGATGGGTATTAGGGCCACAAGAGGTATTTTTAAACACATTGCAATTTGTTGATTGTTGGAAGAGTCATGATTTATTAAAAGCTTTTTCATAAACACTACAAACACATCTACTCCAGAGAGGGCAAACAAACAGACCGGCCATCACTTTAAAGACCCGCAATGCAGTGTATTTCAAAGTTTGAGGAGAATTATGATTTTGCAATGTGAAAATAGTAAAGTTTATCTAGAGTACAAGTCAATGAGGTCGGGGAGCGCAATCAAGAATATAAACTTCTTGTGCCTTGAGATTAATTTTGCCTCTCTCTCCCTTCAGTGGAAGAAAAATTACTTTCATTATATCATTTAATTCTTAATACCTGTCAACTCAAGAGAGCTGTCCCTACAAATTCAACCTGCACTTTTATTATTGAAAGCATAACAAATAGTAACAGTGCACTATATATATTTTTTTCATTTTCAGTCTGGTCACGTATGTCTTGTTTATAACTTCCTCTCTGGCAAATAGGCATGGTCAAATGAATGCAAATACATCCCATTATTGTGAGTAACATGGGAGATGGGGAGCTAAGAGTGAGTGACACATAAGGTCTTGGGTTTGCTGAGAAAATATTAAACAAAATGAAACATGATGGAGTCATTTTGGAGACTTGTAAAGTAAGTTTAAATAAACATGAACAACTAATTGCGTTTCACCTGTTCCCTTGATGTAACTGTGGAAAGCACCTGAAAATGAAAAGAAGATATTTTGAAGAATATTTAAACAGTTTTTGTTCGTGCAATGAAGGTGAATTCATTTATTTTATGGACTGAGACCTTTTTCAAAATATCTTCTTTTGGTTTTCACAATTTAAAGAAAGTGAAGCAGGTTTGGAACAACATGAGGGTAAGTAAATGATGACAGAACAGACTTTAGTTAAGTTAAATGAATTTTTAACAGGAATAAAAACAAGGCTGTGAGGGATAGAAGTAAAGTCTGTTCATTGGATTGTACTATTGTATTTTTTTGTATGTATTGTATTTACTATTGCTGATGAAAGTCTTTGCAGGAAAAAAAAAGAAACTTTCAATGTAGACAAAAGCTCCGTAAAACAATTTTGAAAGTTGTGAGTTGGCGACGTGATCGAGGACTTTTATACAGTGAGTGCCAGTAAGTCTATCCCTCACGTCCTCGAGTTCATCTGCATTCAAATTAATATGGTGTCCAACCTGACTAAGGTCTATGGACCATTTTCACAGACTGTGATGAAGCAGTTCAGCAGTCACCAGCATCATAAATCAAGCATTAAGTTTTTTAGATTTTCATTTTTAACTCTATACTTAGTATTATATTACCCTTGCATCAAAAAAAAAAAAAAGTTAACGCTGGGTGTTTGTAATACACTGGCTGGGGAGTGATGGTAAATTTAACATCGTTCTCTCTTCTCTCTCTCTTGGTTTCTTTCTCTCCCATTCATCACTATAGATGTAGTCTCCTATTCTCTGCTATAGAAGTTCTAACTATGTTGTTAACTATGAGGTTCTAACCCAACTATGTTGACTTCCACTTCTGAGAAACCCTGAAATGTGAAAAGGGTGCATTATTGTTTATGTGTGAACCATCCCTTAAAAGGTGCAGTTGGAGTGGAGAAGGGATTCCAGAAGAATATTCAAAACTATTTACATACCCTTATATATAATTTTGACTGCCAGTTTTATATGAATATGCTCTTGCTTTACTTTTTGGAGCTCCTTTTAATTTAATGAATCATTTATGTGAGTCATGTTGTGGGTGTTCCATCACTCACAAATGCTGTGTTCTACCAATAAGGCTGCCAAATGTATACATTTGGTTTATGGTCTCGGTTTATTTCTTACAAGCCTTTTTGAGAAGTCTCGTTTGAACATAACCATATTGGATGAGTTTTGGTTGTGTGGATTGGTTGGTGCTCCTACCGCTGGCATGCAATGTCCATTCACGTCAGAGTGGCTGAAGTAGAAATCAAATCATTTGGCAGTCCTAATGTGTTTTGATTTTTCCATTAGCAGGCCAGTCGTTCTGGCATTCACGCTGGCATGATCATAATTAGTGTCTTCCATTTGCATCATTGCAGTCAATTGAACTGGTAGAGCATTGATCCCATGCTGATTGGCACTACCTGCACCGCTTTACAACACTGATCAGAGTTACAAGCCAGAGTTGGTTTCTGAACCCTGACTGCATTACACCTGCTTGTGTATGTCGCTTTCCATTTGCAGGGCTAATGTGTCCCGGCTTTGGAACAACCTCCCAACATGAGGCCCTTGATGGTGATGGGCGAATTAAGGTTGACATCCAATCGATCTGGGCCTGGCCTGGCCCGCAGCGAAGGGAGATATTCGCACGCTAGGATTATAACCCCTGCAACCCCCCGCAGCCAAACAGCTGTTGACCTCCGAACGGATGCATGAACTACTTCCTATTTCACAATCCACCTCCTCTCTCACAATACCCTGATGGCCACTCTTCAGATGATACTCTGCCTTTTTTCAGCCACTCTTGATACTTTGTAGGTCATCTGGTATGGGCATAACTGTGCTTGATGCATTTGACTTTTCATTTTCCTTTGAGACACACAAAAATAGAAGAATGTAGCTGATTGGTAATCTTAATAGACAATATGTGCACTGAAATTTTGGCTGGTTAACACTGAAACAATACATTTCATGCAATGTACCGACAATTAAAATATCTAGAATAGAGATTGCACTCCTCTTCTCGACATCCCTGCCGTTTGACAATTGACTGACCTTGATAAAGGAAAAATCATGACTTACCAGTGAGAGTCTGACAAAACATTGTTTGTGAAGGCTGCTTTTCAAATATTTCTGAGAATCAAATTTGTGATTTTGAATTTAAAAAAAAAATACTTTTGTGTTTTGATGTTTTGCATTGTCATTTATAACTCTTGAAATTCCAGACCACAAATGACGCGAGTTAAGTCTGTCTGATTATTGCTATGGCTTTTTTATGCAGATAATCTTCTTTATAAAAGTAAAACTCTCCAGTCTTGCTTTTCATCCCTCTCTGCCATATCCAGTATTGTTGTGAATAAGCCGCAAAGGAAGCAATGAGTCAGCATGAGTAACTGCATTGTGACATTGTTCTTCAGAATTACAGAGAAAATTAAAAGGATATTGTTTTTATGATATCATAAGGACATGAACATACTGCATAAACTAACATCTGAACACATTAAATGAACACTCATGGATAATGATAACAGTTATCACATTTGAATGTTAATGTGCACTAAAATCATATCATCATAAAACTCTGCAAGGCTCACTTACAATATATTTGAATATGAGCACTGATAGATTATATAATTAAGTTATGTAAAGAAAAAGATTATATAAAGATCTCAGATAAACTCTAAACATAAATCTATGAATGCCCTCAATGAGAAATCAAAGTACTGAGAATCCATAAAGACAACAAACTGGAAATAAAGATTGATTGATTGATTGATTGAGGACGAGCAACTGTGAGGGGATTTTGCCCCCCAAAAGGCTGTGAATTTCTACATTTTTTGCATGACAACAAACATCATATTAAATTGCAGCTTTAGCATTTTCCATAGGCAAAACTATCTTACTTTATATTTGTATGCGTTTGTTTACGCATGCTTCTATTAGATGTAGAATTACCACCTGGATTGGTATCCAATGTAATTTGGGATTTATAAATTCAGATCATTCTACAGTAGCATTCATAGCAATCAAAATCACTGTCACTCTTAAATTAATGATCTTAAAATCAACTAATTAAAATCTACAGATATTATGCTTCAACATGCCTAACTTCATTTTAACTTTATAGAGTAAGTCCTAGTAACTTTAATACTGAGACAAAAATGTGACTACACATAGGTTATAAATAAAACATTTATAAATGCATATCGATGCTCGCTCACTTAACGCATTTTGTAGCAAAGAAACAAGTAAATCGTGCAGCTGTTGTGGTGACGGTCTGAAAGTTTTTGGAAACATGTATAGCTACTATTTATTAAGAAATGCACGCAACCAACTTGGATAAAACGCGGGTTCTTGTTTCTTGGCAACCCGCGTATCTCTAATGTCTCCGCCCATCTCTCTCTCGTTCTCTCTCTCTCTTCTCTAGCGCTCCATCCACCTGTGCCTAGGTAACGTGATCACGCAATTAATAGCGGGAGCGCGCACTCTGTATGGTCCGCGCATCCGCGGCGCGCGTGAAACTCAGGAAATCTGAATAGCTGTTTCTTTCAGAAACCAGTGGATTGGGATTTGTTTGTTGTTTTTTTAGGTTTCTGAACTGTCGCAGGATATCAAAAGTAACAGGTAAGCGCAAACTATCTTACCTCCAGTGTTATTGTGGTTTGTTTACTGATGTTTCCGCTGCAGTGTTTCATAACTCACCGTTAAACTTGTTTGTAAGATACTTTGCACTGTCACAGGAGCGGTCAACAACCGTAAGTGTTGTAAACACCACAGGTTATACATTTACAACGTTCCTTTCATTAATTTCACTTTATGAAAGCAGGTGGATAAACGAATCAGTGCTCGTGTGCGCTGTTAACGGCATGTCGTGAACGAGGGAAGCACGCCCCCTTACAGCAAGTGCGCGGCCCCGTGACTTTCCCGTTAAACCTGGCTTGAGTTAAAACTGTTACTCTCGCGCAGAGCTCCGAGGACACGTCAAATCACAGTTTTACTCTCTCTTTCCGCAGGGTCAGATCGGCGGAGTCCAGCATCTTCGTGGCATAACAGGAGCGCTTCTGGAACGGGAAAGAACGCCTAAGTCATTTTATGGAGGCTTGCGGGACGCAGCGAAACATTTCTTAAAGTGTTTGGCACCGAGGATATCAGTCCAGATCCCCCTTCAGTTCGGAGCATAGTCTTGTTTGGATTTCAGCCTGTTTGAAATGTGGCGTTATGTGATCGAGATAAATGTGCTATGTGTGTGATTTGGAGAGGATCTTGTGGAAGGTGTCCAGTGGGAAAGAGACTGGGTGGACTCATCTGCAACTGATTCCCGTTTTCTGAGCTGCAATGGACTTGGAATGAAGACAAAACATGGATATAATCTGGGAAATATTTATTATCCTTCAAGCCAATCTCATCGTTTGCACTTCAGGTAAGATTGTACATTGTATATGATGATTCTTTTGATAGTAAGTGCTTAATATTCGTTTTATAATAGCTTAAGTTGTGTTAAAACCATAAAAAAACATGTATTATAAATAATTTACGTAGCTACTTCGTCCCTATTATTAAAATAATATTATTTAAAATATTTCGGAAGGCGCAGAATTCTGTAGGAATCCAGTTTTTGATTATAGACTATTTTAAAAATCGCTTATTTTCGCTGCATACGACCCACGTCATTTTATGTGAACTAGGCTACTGTTTCTTTTTATTATTTCGAATAATTTAAGTTAAAAATAATGTATTTTGCTTAATATTTGCTTAAAATAGTATTTTATTGATGATTTGCCATCAAATACTAGCAAACTCGGTCGGGTAGGCTATATCCTGTGTTGTAAATGGGCTAAGTTATGCGTAAATTAAATTACATTAAAATTAAATTACATTAATTATCATAGTCATAATTATTTCCCCACTGCTAATATAAACGTAAATAGTGATTTTGGAGGTGGTCATCACTGGACAGACCAAATGTAGAAGCAATGGAAACCCGAATTACAGCACGGATCCCTGATTGGTCTGCTCTGTCTCCATTAACACTTACTATCACTTTAGTCAATCTAATGCGGAGCCGAATGATCGCGTAATGTCGAATATATGTTGTTCTCTCAGACATTATGGTGTTAAAAACCACAACAGCCACGGAAATAACTTATTGAGTGGGCAGAAGTCTGAATGACTGCCAAAAGCTGTTCAAATAAGAATCACGATTATTATTAAATGACTAAACAAATCAAGTCCGTTCTGGTTTAACTTTAAAGCTCCTCGTGAGAGGTTTATGGAACGCGTCCAGCAGCGTCGCCCACGCGAGAACTGGACATTGATGGCAACGCAGCGCGCAACACATCCGTCTTTCTCATGATGCGTGGGACAGGCAACGTAAACGTCCTTGACCAGTGTTTATGGCCTCTGAGAGCTTCCCTTTTTAGTAGCTTCATGTAAATGTTCACCATCATTTTTCATATGGTTACTAATATGGGAAGTCAGGTTGCTTTGAAATATTAGTATTTTTTAAAGTGACATTACAGATTAGCACAATTTAGTAAGTGCAAGTGGTTTGTTTTTTTGTTAAATATAAAAAAAATACTTGTCGGGGTTTATATTGTGTGATTCAGAATACTAATCAAGGATCAAATGATTTCCTCATTCATACTGATCTCAAAACTTCATTCTGGTTCCTATAAAGCATCATCTCTAAAGATGATCTCGACATCAGATGTAATGAGCATGATGATTGTTTAGGTAGGGCCCTTACGTCTGTAAAATTAGTGCCATTTTTGTCTCTTTTCATTGACAAGTCAATGTTAACGTGTAATTCAGAAAGACAGGACTTTTTCAGAAATTGTATCCATTGGGAATTGATTGGATTATGAAAAGTGGGCATTGCATATCAGAGCAGAGCCACACTGAATGTGGGTTTGCTTTTTGGTATTCAGTTAACGTTGCCCAGTAGCACACAGCCTAAGTGACGTCAACAGAAAAGGATGTTTCTGAAGAAGAGCAAGTTTAAAAAAAATTGATTAATGATTGGGATAGCAGCCTTTTTTAAATTCAGAATAACATGCACAATGAATCATTCAAAATAAGAGCATTGAAATTAATGTGCATTTAAGTAAACTGGATACATTTTGCATTTTGCACATTTTTTGGTGTAGCTATGGTGAATCATGTTTCATTTTCAAGCACAACATTTCCAATTTTCCACTGCCATCACTCCCCAAATAGCAAAGGCCTCTAATGTACTTTCAACTCTGTTTTCCCCAGCAGTTTTCTTGATGACGCGTCTTTTGTCAGCAATTACATTGTTTTATGACAGATGGAAAACACTCAATTTTGCTGTTTAATCAATAATTTTTTTTAAAGTTTGAAGGTCAAATTTATCTCTCTGTCTTTGGTATACAAGAAGGAAGCTCTCAGTGATTTTGTTGTTTGTTGGGACATGTTCACAAAGGTCAAAGATTCTATTTTGTCCCCACTACAGTCATAATTGGACCATAACAAGTGCCATCATCCTCAGTTCTTTGGTTTCCAGGCATTCTTACCGGAACATCATAGATTTTAGCTGACATTTGCAGAGCATGAGCATTTGTTTAGTTATGGCAGTTAACATTTGCTTTGATGCCGCTCTGGATCCAGCAGAACAGTGATCGCCTCATGAGCCCCAATTCTCAATAAGTGAGGAGCATCTCCTTGTGTCAGTGTACACAAATACTGCATTTTTAGATGGACTGCGTTAGAAGTTGATGCAAAATCAATTACGGTTCAATCAGTTATGACATCTTATTGGGACTGATTTATTTGTGCACTTTCTGGTTCTTTATCCCGATACACTGAATGATCACCCTGATTAGAATGTACAGTGAGGTGCAAAAGTCTAATGATGATAAATGCAGCTCATCAAAGTTTGTTACATTGATCATGTGACTCTTGCAGACGTCAAATGATCTTTCTTTTATTCAAGCTCAAGATGCTCAGAAATCATGCTTGAGAACATGATCATTAGATTCAGAAAAGGCCATTTAAAATGTTTTTAAATGTAACAGTTTTAAACAAATTATGCTGCCAATAGTAAATTCTATGGTGGATTTTAAACCTCATTGTATTGGTATTATGTTATAAAATGTAATTTAGTCATTTAGTTAGCTTTAATTTAGCTCTTTATTAAGCTCTGACATCCTTCAGTTAAAGTCCAGGGAAGTTATTTAGTAGCCAGACAGACACTTTGCTTAAGATAATATTCCAAAACAGTGAGCAATGTTGCAAGTTACAGTACAATTTCCATATCAGAGCTGCAAGGGCCCATGCACTGTTGTTGTCAAATTTCTCAGTCCAGTCAATCAGTTTGGTGTGCACAAAAACATTGTGCCACCGTTATGATAAACAGACTTGATTATGTTTTTCAGGTTTGTTTGAATAGGACTGAGAATCCAAAAAATCTCAATTTCGACACCAGAGGTTACAGTTCTGCTTTGTTGCACTGAGTCTTTGCTTATGAAAACAAAAGAGTCTGCATTCATCCAGGTAATTGGAAGAATGTGTGTGTGAAAGTCTAGTCAAAAGCATCTGGACTTCTAAGTTGTTTTTCCGCTCAATTCACTGATTCAAATGCATATACAAATGTTGTGCATTGTAGTTCTTAGTCATCATTCACATACATTTCAACCCTTTTGAAAATGAGAAAAGTTAGTTATTTATTCTCGACAAAACAGAGCTGAATACTGTGTCCAATTCTTTTAAAGAGCACCAATTGTTTATTGACAGTGAGGCATTTACGGTGGCATTATTAAGAGGTTGTATGCACTTTCATCTATGGTGGCTAAATGTTGTAATTTATCAATTCCTAATCTGCATGGTTCTTGTTGTTGTGAGCACAATATATTATAGGTGCATGCTTTTAAATAGAATATTCAAATTAATGCATGAAATTAATAATTTTTGTCCCTTGCAAATAATGTATTTTATAGATTCAGTTAGAGAAAATGTGTTAAAAATACAGATAAGATAAAATTGGAGTAATGTTTCTCATTAAAATAGCAATGCTTGTAATGTTTTTAATGTCATGCTCTCTACAAAATTACTCCCGGCTTCCCTGAATCCTGACAATTTTAGTGTGAATATTTAATTAGCCCGAAGAAGCATGTCATTTAATAAGGCATTTGAATCATTAAAACTAGACACAAGCCATAACTGAAAGGCTGAAAACCTTCTAAAACAACCGTGGGTCAGAAGCAGCTGTGTTTAGCTAGGTCTTCCCTGATGGGTGGGTGTAGCTAACGCTATTGACTGTCACATGCAACGGGCATAGCCATTTGTAAAAACCCAGCCATGAATCTTGTCACAAACCCTGTCACAAACCCACAGCAGCGCAGCACCATGACATGTTTGCACTAGCTCTCAGGTGCCCTGTGGCACATCATCCACAATGTGCACCTGGCCACTCTTAGCTCAATAAGCGACGCTCGCCACAGCCTGACAGCGATCTTGGCCCTCTTTGCAAGGGAGGCCTTGCTGCTGCCATGCGTGTGACACCGAGAAGGTGTTTTTAATGTTTGGACAATGCCACGGCTGAAGGCTGGAACATTAAGCAATGATATCTATAGTACAGAGGCTTTCGCTGTGGCTGGGTGATCCTGCACGCCCACACTGGGCAACACTGTCTCAGCCGACTAATCTGATAATCCCATGCAGATGTGTCTGTGAGTGAGTTTGCATCTGTGCATGTGGACCGGGAGAGAGCGAAGAGAGCGAGAATTGCAAGACTGTCAGCATCCTCCTTATGTGATTTGGTTGTTTATCCGTTTTCCTTCCGGGATGAGGGGTTTGTGTCACAGTTCAAAACGTTTAGATATTATGGAAATTGCCAAATGAATTGTTCTAAGTGAACCTGAATGCATAATACAGATGCAGATTGTGTTCTTGTTGATAAAAGTGTGTGAGTCTCTGAGGAGAATCGCTGCAAATGCTCCTGTAATACTGATAAAGTTTATATCTGCTAGTAAAATGTCCATTCTCACATTTGCCTCGATGCGTTTCTTGAGGGAAGTGCTAAGTTCTTCATGTTGTTTTGCTGGTCAAGGCAGTGGGTGTGTGTTTCATATTATGCCATCTGTCATATAATTTATTTATAGTAGAATAACTTTTAAAGCCTGTGGTTCTGCTTGGGTCGCGGTAAGGCCATCAGAGCTAACAACACCCTCCAGTATTAAATCTTTTGTTACAGACCATTAAGGCCCTGATGTACTCTTTTTTTTTTTTTTTTTTTCGTTGTTTCGTTAGGAGTAAAAATAAGTCCAGAATACCATACACTGCTAGTGATCTGGGTGGTGTCAAGATGAAACCAATGCTGCTGGAAGCGGTTTAGATGAACATGTAAATATGTGCTACATGCTTTCCTCTTGGTAACAAAATAAACATACAGCAAAAATGAGA